TCAACAACATTTCTTCATCTCAAGATGATCGCCGTTTTTTCAGGTCATCGATATGCTTTTGTTCAAGGGAACAGAGGAATTGAGCAACATTATCGAGCACGCGAAACAGAGGCACCACATTCTTGGCCAATATGTCTTAGGTCGTGATGGCTTATCCCAAGATCTCGAAACCAAAGACCAGGGTGCGTCCGATTTCCTCAAAAACTTTTATAAAAGCAACTACTTCTAAACTGTTTTTTTCTTCTCCCCTTGTGGATTGTTTGTTATGATTGTTGCTGGTAGAACCAGTAATTAAAAAAAAAAAAAAACTTAAATTGTCGGTCGTTTTCAGCTTCTGTTGTTGGGATAACTGTTCGTTAAAATGCATATTCGCAGTGGTGCGAAGCACATTCGTTGACTTCAGGCTTACGAACAGTTTTAACTTATAGTTTATTGAACATGCTGATCTCCATATGCGGTTTAATAATCAGTTATTTGTTATAAAATGCATGCAGTACTTTCTGACTAAAAACCATTAGTTGTTTGAATTTGATCGGGTCAACCTATCCCCTCTTAGTCCAGCTTATCGTTGTTATAATAATGCAATTTATTACCTTAGCTATACTCAAAATTATTTGGTAATTGGCACAATCTTTTGCAGCTGTGCAGTAGAATCTGTACCAAATTCTTCAATATATGAACCTTTATCAAATCTTTTATGTATGAATGACAGCCCAATTGTGTGTGGATAAATATATGATAATCTATAGTAGGTAGTAGTTGACTTTGTGGGTTGGTCCCTGGTCTTCTCTATTTCTTATTATTTAATTTGAGCCTCTCGGGATTACTATACTAAACTAGTACAAAACTAGTACAACACCCGTGTATTATACGGGTGCTTGTTAAAAAATTATTCTTAAATTTTAAAATTAATGAGAAAACTATATTAAATTTAGTTTACTATTTTACCAAAAAAAAAAAATAAAATATATATTACTATATATTTTAGAATGATATGTGTTACTTATGACTTACATGTGTTATATTATATTAGTTTTTATAATTTATATCATATAACTACTTGAAATA